GGCACTCCCACCTTGCTAGTGCTGAAACAAAACAGCACCTGACCGCGTGTTATCTTCTCGTGATTATAAGGCAGGGAAACCAAGCAGAGTACGACAACAGCCATTTATCTGTTTATCTGCTTGTTTGTTCACATGTGTGTGTTCATCACAATTAACACAACAGTTCCTTCGATTACAAGGCGTTAACTGTTATACATTCCACTGTTGTAAAAGTAGATACATGGTTGGAGCGACCACGATGTACGGAAAAGTGTTACCCCTTCCACCTTATTTTTATTAGACCTGTGAGAGAATCGATCAAACTGTGGTTGGAGGCCGTTCATCATGCACTTTCATGTTTTCTCTTGTACTGCTTGTAATAGTACGCTGGTGCTCAACAGCATCTGACTACGTGTTATCTTCTCGTGATTATAAGGCAGGAAAACTAAGCAGAGTACCACCACAGCCATTTATCTATTCATCCGCTACTTTATTCACATGTGTGTGTTCATCACAACACAACAGTTTCTTTGATAACGAGGCGTAAACTGTTATACATTCCACCTGTTGTAAAAGTAGATACATGGTGGGAGTGACAACGATGTACGGAAAAGTGTTACCCCTTCCACTTTATTTTTAATAGACCTGTGAGAGAATCGATCAAACTGTGGTTAGAGGCTTTTCACCATGCACTTACGTGTTTTCTCTTGTAGTGCTTGTAATAGTACTCTGGTGCTCTTGCTCTGGGCCTCCATCGAAATGTGGCCACTTTCACCAGGAATAAAACTCAATTTCTCAAGCTCAGTAACGTGACTGTGTTAATGATTACATTATTATGGACTGGCAGCACAAACACACAGATAAAAGAAAGAACATAAAACCGCAGGTCTAGCTCACAACTATACCTTTTATTTCAAAAAGAACAATTAGAAGAGTCGAACCATGTATGTTTCCCGCATGCACAAACAGAAAGAGCACACTACTATTGTGTAAAAAAAAATAAGATAAAACCGTCGAGATCAAAGCCGAACGACAAGTCTAAAAATTCATACTCACAATTGTGCAACATCACCAATAGTTCATTGATACATGAACCAGATTACCTCCTGATATAGTATGTCTCATTGAGTATATTTGATAAGGTAGTAATTATACATGTCAGGTTTTAATTAGTCAGTTGTTATACATTGCAGCGCAATCGCTGGTGCTTTCATGTATGTCGAAATGCACTATGCTGGTTGTATAATAATCTATTTAGAATAATGAAAACCATTCAAGGATGTTCTGATACACAAAGGTGTGGCTTGTGACCAGTACAAATATGTAGAAGAGTTTATATTAGGGAAACCTGGTCACAGCGAAAATGATAAGAATAGCGCGTGTTAGTACAATGATAAAACATTGCTTTGATACTGCAGACCAAACGTGAAACTATGAATTCATGCAATCACATAAATTAAGAAAGGAAGTTAAAAATAATGTCTGATAGTCCTGTGGCACACATAGCAAAGTTTATGCTGCAATAGACGGAGAACATTAGACTAAGTGCAGTGGTACTGTGATACAGCATCATGTAATTGGGCGAGTACCTAATAAACGAGTGCACCACAATGCTGCAGTACAGTTTAGATTCCAAAGTATTGTTCCAGAAACTTCACAGTTAGCCCACATGAGTATTACAGCATCCAAACTTAATTGCAGTAACCCAGTTACTATTCCACATTGCACTTTCAAAAACTGAAGCAACTGGAGTCAGTCCTTTGCTTGCTTTGAGAGAGCCGGAACAGCTATCAAAATTCTGTGGTGCCCTGCAGATATATGGCAATTTGGAGATTATTTTCAGCAGTGACAATGAGAAGGATGATGTCAAGGATTGTTGCCAGGTTCCTTCTGTGAAGCAGCTTAGGTTTGCATCGTTTTTACGTTGCTGTGTCACCACAGGTGACATATAAAAGAATACCACACCACATCTGCATACCATGTCGATCTACATTTCCAACATGTTGGCAATAGTTTTATTCAGGTGCATTGAAGGCCAGTCAGTGGCGCTGCAGATATATGGCAATTTGGAGATTATTTTCATCAGTGACAATGAGAAGGATGATGTCAAGGATTGTTGCCAGGTTCCTTCTGTGAAGCAGCTTAGGTTTGCATCGTTTTTAGGCTGCTGTGTCACCACAAGTGACATATAGACGAATACCATACCACAGCTGCATACCATGTCGATCTACATTTCCAATATGTTGGCAATAGTTTTATTCAAGTGCATTGAAGGCCAATGAGTGGTAAATTGTTTTTTGTGGTGGCTTCTCTAGCTACATTGCAGGGTGCCTTAGGTTAGCTCTATCAAAAAAGTGGTACTTTGATCGGAGAACTAAGGTGCATCATGTCGGAGCCTGACATTCTTCACAAAAATTTCGCTACCATAGTGGCACTACCTTGGGCAGATCTTTTTCTTTAAAATCACAGTCATGTTTCTTCGTAGCAATGGTACTGTAATCCTGGTGGCTTTATCAGTGGTCTTGTGTATCCTGGACAGTCCTATTACGTTTAGATATAATCAGCGACGTCATTATTGTGATGCAGGCTTTAAAATCCCGGGAAAAGGTGCAAGAAACCGAATGCCCAGCAGTGAAATTGTTAAGCAGAGGCTACAAGCATCTCTACATAGTGCTAAAGGCACAATGAGAATGTAGTTGCATAGACTGTTAACAAGTTCTTATTTATTAGAATGTCATTTCATAAGTGAACTGAGAACAATGTACACTTTAATATTCTGGTAACTCCACCAGTTTTGCCTTGTAGGTACTTTACAAGGATTTTTAGTTTTAAATCGGTCTGGTGTTGCTCAGTGAAGTCACCTGTGCTGACAGTTGCAACAATGGTATCGCAATCTTGTTCGTTTCGGTGCAGACATCTGCATCACAGTTTTTCCATGCCAATTTGTACACTATGCCAGACTACCCAAAGTCCTGCCAATTTGAGACATAGAGGCCCCTTACCTTTGAAGGTCTTCTATATAGGCGAGGTTAGAACTTTGGTAAAGATAGGAGGCATGGTGTTCTCTTCCGATACGGCTGGCTTTGGCTTTTGATAGCAGTAGACTTGTATAAGCACAGACCATTTCAAGTTTTCCTGTCTCCTGCATAAACATGGCACTGAGCCATATGCTACTTGAGTTGGTGTAATATTGTTTCAGCAAGATACATGAAGACAGCTGGAAACATTGTCTTATCTTCATAAACGCTCCAATCTGTGGTGTTTTCGAAGTAAACTTGAAGTTGAATATTATTGTAACTGCAGAGCTATGGCAATCAATGATAAGTTTTTATCAATTGTCTAGACCAACCAAACAGGCCTTTGACTTTATACACTTTCATGTTGTTGAAGAACTGCAAGCTGGATGTGTATAGTCGGAGCTGTTTTTTGTACCTGGGAAGACCCTCATCGGTATTGGCAGATTGTTCTAGAAATCCTGTACTTATCCTGTACTTCTATTATCCCCTAAAATCATGCATGGTTGGTGACATGCTTTCAAAAGTATATATGATGTGCGTCAATGAATTCTACATAGTACTGTGAGAAATACCCACATGCCCTGTGTGCCTTGCTCAAGAAGCTCGGCCATTCACTATGCTAATGCTATGTGCTACTAGATATGGAAACATTTTGAAATTGAATAATTCAGCTATACATAAGCTTCAGCTCAATGAGCAACTAAAACATTCAGACTCCCAAGCATAGGTCAGCGATACAAGAGAATACTCAGTCACTATGAGATTCTTTAAGCTTCTAACTCGCTAACTTTTATACAGACTTCTACTCATGGCAACAGGTACTCACACACATTCCTACATGCTTACTCACGCCTTCTTACACTCATGATTACTGGTTCACATCCATACTCATGACTACTACCATTGAACAGTACTAATTGCTCACGTTTATACTCAAGCCTTCTCATACTCATCAGTACTCACTAAGGTCTAGCTCACGCTCATTGGTACTCGCTCGTGCTCAAGCATGTAAGTTGCCCTACCCGTCACATGACTGAACTACCCTATCTTTTCACTTCGAAATCACTATGATCTGGATAATTCGACTTGTTCAATTGTTCATATCAGGATGCAAGTTAATTGTGGCGATATAAATCTAAATTTAGACTACTTGGCACTTCTTTTCTATTATGAAGGTTGTTACAGTTTGAAATCAAAACTGTTTTGTGTATTTTTTGTTGTCCGAGTGTAAGTGTTTGTAGGAAGGTAATGTGAATATTTTTTATATTCAGTGTGTTTAGTTTGAAAATTACAATGATGATATGATGTTTATAGAAACAGTATTCTGCTCAAGTTTTCTGTTATGCAGTTAGTTTGAATATTGAGTAACGTAGCATGACATTTATCATTCAATTCTTCACAATGTATACACTCTTGCAGTATGATAGTTGTGGAGTGTCAATTTATCTGTTTTGTTTGCCACGGTTTTGTAGCTGCTCCGACTTTTTCTTCTATTTTTGTTATGAAGTTGTGATCTAGTCAAGTTGTTGTAAACATAACTGTGTACAGGGTTCCCCTTCAGGGGAAAAGGTCAATTGCAGCACCCGCCCACTCTATCATGTCCATGTATAGGGCTCACATTGCACCCACCCTCTTGCCCACCTGCCACTTGTGCACATGCCTATGGTTCCAAAGGCAGGTTTTTTTTTTCACAGTCCTTTTCATAATACAAGTCAGAATAAACTTCATTTCATGTGATTCGTGGTTATGCCTTCTCTCATTTGTGATTACATACACTCATACTGGTGTTTACTCACATTCTCATCATGCACTCGTACTAAGCCATGCCTTTTGAATGAGAGTGACCGAGTGTGCTCATGTAACCAAGCTCTGCTTCCAAGCAACAGAATATAAGTTAGAAAACAGCCCAAGTGGCCTGAATATAATTTTTTTTGTTTGAGATGTCTTAAAATCGCAGTGTAAATAAAAAAATACCAGTACCTGCATATTATAAGGCATGGGTTATTGAACTGCAGTCATTTATTAATGAAAAAATGTAATCAATATTGTTGCCACCCATCATGTGAAACCAACAAACCCAAACTGTTTATTTATTAATTTTTATTTATTATACCTCGAAGGCCCTCTACAGAGGGCTTTACACGAGGATGTGTGCAAACAATGTAGAGTTAATCGAAAAATTATTCTATTGCATTCCTAAATTTATCTGTTTTGGAATGGTCGATGACACTTAAGCGAAGATCGTTCTAGGGCCTGGCCGCCTGAGCAAAAAAAGGAATGATGGTGCGCTCTGGTGCACGCAGGAGGTGGGCAGATGGCCTTGTGGGGCTGAAGTACGATGGGCTGGTTGAATGGGGCAGCTGTAATGAATCACATGATACATTTCTTAATACAAGGACAGTCTAGAAATCTTACAGCATAGGTCTAGGTTAGGCAAACCTGCATTACTTCTAAGGGCAGTGACACTGGTATGATATGAGTAATCTGAATAGATGAATCTAACTGTGCGGTTTTAAACTAGTTTGATGAACTTAGCTTACATTGTGATGGGTCCCAAATGGCGCATGCATATTATAATTTTGGGCAAATGAGGGTCTTGGTAGGCTAGTAATTTGACTGATGGAGGGGCAAGGTGTTTGTTACAACAAAAGTAACCAAGAGCTCAGTTATCAGTGTTAGCTATTTCACTTATCTGAGAAGATCAGTTTAGAATGTGTAAAATGTTAACACTGAGATATTTATTACAGCTAAGGGAAGAAACTGTGGAGCCATTACTAACAATATAGTCAGCATTAGAAAAGTTCTGGCGTCTGTGAAATGAAACAAGTGCAGTTATATAAGTATTTAAAACTATGAGCCATTTGCGACACCACTCGACAAGTTTTAGTAGGTCACGCTGGAAGGTAATTCTATCTGAAACATTAGTAATGGGTCGGTACAAAACACAGTCAGAGGCAAATGTTTGATTAAATATTACAGAGCAAGTCATTAATGTAATAAAGTAACAGGAGGAGGACCAGAAATGTACTTGTTGCACAACGGAGATTATGTTAGAAAAGGATGAGGATGTATCATTAGCTTTTGAGCTCTACGTCATCTGATCTGATCTCGCATGGTATGAATTGCATGACGTGGTACACATGAGTGCCCTCACATAAATATAAGTATGCTAAGCTTTTGGCAGCTTCTTTAAAACAGCCTTACAAGTGATCTTGTCAGAGACCTCCATGACACCTATTTTAAGGATTGCTTCGGTATCGAATATCAGCAATCTCACATCGATTATTTAGGGCTCAATTGGTATCATAATCTCGCCTGTGGACAGTTTGGGCATGAAAGTGATCATGTATGCAGGAACATACTTCTGTCGTCAATGTCTCATGAAGCTACTCATATACCATTTAACTTGATATGACCATTTCAGCATGTCAATACAATAACACTGGTGTGATTTGAATGCACTAGGTAATGTGAGTATTACAAGATAAATAAGCTTTCCCATACACTATGTTAATGAAATGTGGCCAAGATTATTAGCTGCACCTCTTTACTTGGCTTATGAATTATTACAACCCATGCAGTTTATCAATGATGTAAGCGACTGTCTTGCATTTTGATCTGGTTTGTGGCAATGTCGCTTCATGCCCGCGCTGTGCACTTCAGTGGAGCAGCCCGAGGCGCTGCTCTAAAGGAGTAACGTTTCTCGGGGTCGGGGGGGGGGGGGGGATTAGGTTTTGTGTTTGTCTGTTTGGACCTACATGTCCATAACCTCGCGATACATAGCCTGATCGTCGTCAGCGTGCCTCGCTTTAGAGGAAACGCTTCTGATTCATCAAGTTTGAATGCGGGAACGTCATGTTCTAACAAGCTGAAGCGCGGGCACGTTCACTCACGGCGATGTCACGCATAACGCAACCTAGTGCAGATGGGCTGATTACATGCTAGATACAGCAGCTTTAGCGAATATCAACAATCATGCAGGTTAAGGCTCCTCTGTCAGCTATTTCTAACATCCACGACCACAACCATGCAACTCCCGCTGCTGAAGAACAGAACCCAACAGTGCACTTCCTATTGAAACCGCATACGCAAAAGTACATGTTTTGTGTCGTCTGCTGATGATAGTCGCCACCGAACACCTCTGTTTCACCGAACTGGTTTCCAGCACTTTGCGAACATCGCGTCGGCCAATCAGCGTGGTCATGCATTCAGCTCGTGTGGCCCCACCGAGCATAGCCTCTGTCTCCAGACCAGCTGGAAACCGAAACGGTCCAGAAAAACGGAGTGGAACAGGGCGTGCGGCCATACCGTGTTTAGGCCATTACACAGGCTTGTTACAGAGCTGTTTTGCATCTAAAATTTCAGACGATTAGCAGGTGGTGACCAGTAAAGAACAGTTTAAAAATTATGAAATATTGAAATACAAAAGAAAATTGAATGCAAAATACAAAGTACAATACACAAAAAATTTTAAAAGCAATAGTAATAGTAAAATACAAGGCAATACTGATAACAACATGCAAGAACAGTTAAAGTACTGATGTATAAGAGTAAAATAAAATAGAAAGCATAATGCAAAGTACAATATACAAAGCAATACAATATCATAACTGTTAAATTTTAACGTCCCAAAATTATGATATCATAATGAAAGACGCCGTAGTTGAAGGCCCCAGAAATTTCGACTATCTGGGGTTCCTTACTAAGCACCTAAATCTCAGCACATGGGCCTTAAGCACTTTCATCGCAAACGCGGCCGCCACGGCCGGAATTTGATCCCGTGAGCTCCGGGTTAGCAGTCACATGCCTGATTAATCAAGCCTGATGGTGTGACCAAATAGGCGATGCATACTGTAACTGTAAGTGGACAGGGAGGAGCCCTAATGGCGAAAATAAGAACGAAATAGACTTTATAATGAGTGCACACCCAGGCATGGTGGTTAGCAAGGTAGGATGTGGTTAGCAAGGTACGATGCAGTGACCATAGAATGGTATGGTCTCAAATTCGTCTAGACTTGAAGAAGGAGCGACAGAAACTGATACGCAAGAAGCCAATCAATGAGCTAGCACTGAGAGGGAAAGTACAGGAATTCAGAGTCTCGCTTCCTAACGGGTACTCGGCTCTTATTGAGGAAACCAACCTTATCGTAGATACAATGAATAATAATCTGACGAGTATCATTAGGGAGTGTGCAGTGGAAGTTGGAGGCACGGTAGTTAGACAGGACACTGGCAAGCTTTCATAGGAAATAAAGAACCTCATTAAGAAGCATGAAAGCATGAAAGTCTCAAGTACAACAGACAAAATGGAACTGGCAGAACTTTCAAAGTTGATTAATAAGCGTAAGGTATCCGATGTAAGAAAGTATAACATGGAAAGAATTGAACACGCTCTTAAAAACGGAGGAAGCGTCAAAGCAGTGAAGAGGAAACTTAGGATAGGCAAAAATCGGATGTATGCACTAAGAGACAAAGAAGGCAAAATAACTACCAATATGAATAGGATAGTTAAAATAGCGGAGGAGATTTACAGAGATCTGTACAGTAGCCGGGATAACCACGACTTTATTACTATAAAAACTAGCAGTGACTCGACACCCCACCAGTAATGATAAAGGAAGTCAGAAAAGCCTTGGAGAGCATGCAAAGAGGCAATGCGGCTGGTGAGGATCAAATAACATCAAATATGCTGAAAGATGAAGGACGGATTGTGTTAGAAAAACTAGCAACCCTGCTTACGAGGTGTCTCCTGACGGGAAGAGTACCAGAGTCTTGAAAGAATGCTAACATTATCTTATTGCATAAGAAAGGAGATGACAAAGACTTGAAGAATTACAGGCCGATCAGCTTGCTCTTCCTAGTATACAAGCTATTTACAAAGGTAATTGCTAACAGAGTTAAGGAAACATTAGAATTCAATGAACCAAAGGAACAAGCAGAATTTCGAACAGGCTACTCAACTATTGACCACATTCATACTATCAATCAGGTAATAGAGAAATGCCCAGAATATAGCCAACCACTATACGTAGCCTTCATAGATTACGAGAAGGCGTTTGATTCAGTAGAAATATCAGGAGTCATGCAGACACTGTGGATTCAGGGCGTCGATGAAGCATATATAAACATCTTGACGGAAACCTACAGGGGATCAACTGCTACCATAGTACTTCATAAAGAAAGCAACAGAATAGCAATAAAGAAGGGTGTAAGGCAGAGGGATACAATATCCCTAATGCTATTTACCACATGCTTACAGGAGGTTTTCAGAGGCCTAGAATGGTAACAGTTAGGAATGAGAGTTAATGAAGAGTACCTTAGTAACCTGCACTTCACTTATGACATTGCATTGCTGAGTAACTCAGGGGACGAATTGCAACTCATGATTACGGAGTTAGACAAGGAAAGCAGAAAGGTGGGTCTTAAAATTGATAATCAGAAAACGAAAGTAATGTACAGCAACCTCAAAAAAGAGCGGCGCTTCGAGATAGGTAATAGTGCACTTCAAGTTGTAAAAGACTATGTCTACTTAGGGCAGGTAATAACTGCGGAGCAGAACAACAAGATTGAAGTAACCAGAAGAATAAGAATGGGGTGGAGCACATTCGACAAGCACTCTCAAATTACGACAGGTAGATTGCCACTATCCCTCAAGAGGAAAGTATATAACTGCTGTATCTTGCCGGTACTTAGCTATGGAGCAGAAACCTGGAGACTTACGAAGAGGGTTCAGCTTAAATTGAGAACGACGCAGTGAGCAAAGGAAAGAAAAATGGTAGGTGTAACTTTAAGAGACAAGAAAAGAGCAGAGTGGATTAGGGAACAAACGGGGTTTAAGGATATCATAGTTGAAATCAAGAAGAGGAAATGGACATGAGCCGGGCGTTTAGCGCGTAGACAGGATAACCGGTGGTCATTACGGGTAAGTAACTAGATTCCCAGAGAAGGCGAGCGGGTTAGGGGGAGACAGAAGGTTAGGTGGGCAGATGAGATTAAGAAGCTTGCGGGTATAAATTGGCAGCAGCAAACGCAGGACTGAGTTAACTGGCGGAACATGGGGAAGGTGTTTGTCCTGCAGTGGACGTAGTCAGGCTGGTGATGATGACGATGCTGATGATGACTGTAACTGTGGGAGAACAAATGTTTGATGTACGAGTTTACGTGTAGTTACGGGAGTTCCATGGAGATTCCATTTAAGATAACATATTGTGCAAGATCCTTTAGCTGTCACTTTCAGTATAGGACTGAATCACCAAAGATTTCTCAAAGAGTGAACACCGAGATAGTTGTAGGAAACAGGCAGGGGTCACTAAGGTGCTGTTCAGTGAATAATTGAAGGTGGAGTTGGTCTTTTTGCGGCTGAATGAGATTAACTTGCACTTATCTGTGGTAAGTGACATTGGCCATAGTTTGCACAAAGCGGTTACTTTGTCTAGATCCCTTTGAAATTCTAGAGGACCTGCTGGTTAACGGATTTTGCGGTAGATGATGCAGTCACTTGCGAACAGTCTAATGTTTGATGAAATGTTAGATGGAAGGTCAATAATGTAAATGATGAGCAACAAGGGGCCAAGCATGCTACCTTGAGCTACACCAGATAATACATCTCTCAATGGAGATAAGAGGTCGTTAGCAACTGGGAATCGTTTGCAACATGACGAAATATTCTTAACCATAATGTGCTATTAAACGTGAATGAGCTACTCGGTCAAATATGCCTTTAAAATGTCTACAAACACGCAACATGTCTGAATGTTTTCGTCCATATTCTGCAGCGTTTCGTTAGTAAATTCTAGTAATTGTGTTTGGGTCTGCTGGAATTTCTCCTGTTGTGAGTGATTGACGTAAAATGTGAAAAAGAATGGGGCTTGAATGACTAACAGTGTTTTTTAAAATTTTCGTATTTATATTATATACACTAGAGCATGATGATATTTTAAGGTTGTTTATGCATGCAGCAATACCGGTCGCCCTAATTTCTATGGGGCTCACGTATGGGTAGATGGCATTTGCTAATGTTGGAATAGTGGAATGGTCTTCTCTTGTGAACACCACAGAAAATAAGTTATTGAAGATAAGTAGGTATTCTTCTCCATTTTTTAAAGCACCGGTATTATCTAACAAGTAAATGCGAGCTGGCGGGTCAGCAGGCGATATAGCTTTCCGGAATTTTTTCAGGTTGTTCGTAATAAGCGATTAAAGGTCATGAGAATAGTAATTATGCTTGGTTTTACAGATGTATTTTATAAGTGGCTTTGTGTTTCTGCCATAAAGCTGGTGTGTCAAAGCAATTTGCCAGTTAGAAAAGTCACTTTTTCCTGTTTTTCATTGTGCTCAATGCCTTGTTAAACGAGGGTTTAGATGGGTTCATGTGAAATGAATGTAATGGCCGTATGTGCATTTTCATTAGTTTGTTTAATTATCTTTAGATATGAGCCAGTTGTCACTCGCCGAATGCTGAGAAAAAGTCGGAAGGAACGTGTTGCAAGAGCTCAGCAAGCTGAGCGTTGTAGTCTGCACGATGATAATCAAAGATACATTATTTATTGTTTCAAGCGTGCATGAAAGAGCGATAATCTTAAAATTAAGTAATGCATACTGCTGAATGATACAGAACCTGGTTTGCCATATCGTTACAACCCGATGCAATTGTTCTGAGCTGAACAGTGAAACCGCTAAAATCCGTACCACGAGAATCAGCTGATGAGGAAGCGTGGCAGCTTTTCAAGCCGGCAATATCGACTTCGACAGCACGAATCGTTGTAGACAGTTGCTTTAGTTCAATGTCTACAGACGCCTGTCATCGTTTCAACTCCCGCAAATCGCTTCGAATGCCATCTTGGTTTGATATAATCCTTTGTATGCTTTCCAGCACTTTTGCAAGAACTACATAGAATTGGGTCAGGAATTAGTTTCCACGTCCTCGGCAAGCATTAAAAGCAGGCCTTTAAGTAACACCCAATACTTTTCTTGACATATTTCTATAGCTAATAACTACTGCCTCGGGCATGACAGCAAAAGAAGGCAGCCATTCTTGCTTTTTAGGCAAGTGCAATGATCAAGATAACTGACTTGGAACAGTATGAATGGTAAGCGCTCCATTGTCGACGTGGTGTCTTTCCCCAGAGGGGCATTCACGGGCAGCAGTTTATATTCCCTACGGCCGATGCTGATAGTGGTATCAGTGGTGGCAAATGATCGCAGTTGCCAGCCGAAGAACTGGCTTTCACTCAGTTGATCCTGTCAGTACAACTGATGCATCCTATGCACGGGTTTGGCCAGTACTTTGTAGAGGACAGGGGAAGACCAGGTTCGTTGCCGACGAAGGGAGTGGGGAGCCAACCACAAGGACAACATATTCACACAGCGCAAGACTACGAGTAGTTACGACGTAACTACAGAAGAAGTGACAAGACAGAAAGAGGGCTGCTGTGCAAGGGCAACCTGGAAGAGCGCAAGGGCAACCTGAAACAGTATGAATGGTAAGCGTTCCTTTGCCGACGTCGTGTCGTGCTCGAGTATTGAATAAAGCATTTCGTTGGAAGCACAACTGCAGGTAAAATATTGCAGTCTTTATTCTTACTTGCCCTTCCGCTGCTGTCTTGAATTTTGATCTGCGACCCGACCAACTGGAGGCATTTCTCACGGATCTCATGGTACCGTTTTAAATATAAAAGTGATGAGGGCACCTTCTTTTTTAACTGACAAAATGAGCATTGCCAAACCAGCTTGTACTCCTGTCAGCTTCATTTCCATTCCTTGCTACCCCAGCCAATACAAAATCAGTTAGTAGACATCTGCTCTTTGGCTCAATTGACCAAGCTGAGGATAGGTCTTGCAGCTTTCTTAATTAAGTTATATTCTAGCCTCAGGCATCAGAAAGTTGGCTGATAGCATAGCTAATGGCCCCTCCATTTGTGGCTATTAGATGTCTTCACAAGCTATGTTATAAGTGGTGTAAAGACATCTACTGCTTAAGTCAGTTCTGGCTTATTTATGAATATTAAAGGGCCCTTACACCTCCTAAGATATTTAAAAAAAATTCAGGTAAACACACACATCGTGTTCAGATATCATCACAAATAATGATGTTACATCTGGCAGCACTACAAAGCATGGGTGCAGCACAAATTCCCAAGAAACAATTGCTTCTCCTCTACAGGCCTGTTCAGCTCCCCCGGTAAAACTAGCAACAAAACTATCTTTCAACTTTGATGTTACTTTGCAACTGTGATGTTACTAACAATCAATGCTGTGATAGGTTGAACAAGAACCTGCAACTTGCAGTAAGTCTGCAAGCAGCTGTTTACGCTTGCTCTGCACGGATATGTCACAGTACAACAGGGCACTGCATGGACCCGGGCTGGCCTGAAACCCTTGGCCTGGCCCAGCCCATGAGTGGGGCCCGGGCTGGCTAAGGAGCTGTGAGATCGGGCCTCGCCTAGCTCAGAATCATGAGCTTTGAGCTCAGGCTTGATTCAGGCCCGGATTAGGTCTGGGTTTCGTACATGTCGGCAGCATCAGAGGTGAAAAATTGGTAGCAGTCTACCTGGTTGAGGTACAAAACTGGAGGAATGAGACAACTCCAATGAGAATTTGTTTTAGGTCAACCCGATGTTTTGAAAGTTCGACCGGCTTCTTCTTCAAGGGTGAGAAGGTCGAAGATATGCAGCACTTATATACAGTTGCTTGCCGTGCGTGCGAGTCTTGTTGTCACTCATCGTGAGCCTTGGCATAGAGGGAAGGCAATTCCCCCGTGGAGCGGTTGATGTGTCCCGCTGTCTGCTGATGTGCCAGGATTCGAGAAAGAGCTGCCAGAAAGGTTGGTTTTTTTTTTTTTTTTAGAATCACCGCGTTGTCAGGACTGATATGGTGGTCGAACTACTCACAATGTTCTGGTAATGCACTCCTTTCACTGTTCAGTTTATGGTGGTCATTTTTGTGCTGCCGCGTTCTTTTGTAGAAGTTATTCATTTCCCAAATGTAGGAAGCGGCTCAGTTGGTGCATGCAATCCGGTACATGAATGCCCTGAGCTTTTCCCACAGGTGCAAAATCTTTGGGTCGAGAGATGAAGCTGCTGATGGTGGCAGATGGCTTGTGGGCGACGTTACCTCTGCCTATCTAAATATACAGGCTATTGCTTCACTGGCAATGGTGATGTAGAGAATAGACATGTGGTGCCATTGCGGTGACGCATGTGTCAGGTTTGCACCGTCTTTTCTCTCGCA